TGAGATCGATAGTGAGACCAAATGTGAGACCGAATGTGAGATCGACTGTGAGATCGATAGTGAGATCGATTGTGAGATCGATAGTCAGATCGATTGTGAGACCGAATGTGAGATCGATTGTGAGATCGAGTGTGAGATCGATAGTGAGATCGATAGCGAGATCGATGGTGATATCGATACTGAGATCAAATGTGAGATCGATTGTGAGATCGATAGCGAGATCGATTGAATGAGACGTTGGTTCCCCCTCCCCCCTCACCTCCTTATCACCCGCAGGGTGGTCATATGGGTTATATATATATGTATAACGCAAAACAAGCGTTTCGCTCGAGACATCCTCAACAAATGCTGAAAAACAAGCGTTTCGCTTAAGCAATCCTCAAAAATAGTTCCGCCGGCCCTAGGCGACCTCGATATTTATCGCAAACTAATTCCGCTCGCCCTCCAGCCGTCGAAACCGGGGGTAAACCTACCACAAGAGAACCCTGGGCCCCCGCCCTTTCCGGGAAAAAACAAAACATAGTGAAAACGTGCGTTCCCCGTTGGGAGTGGGACGATTTTGGCATCTTGGGGCTCTCCTGGAGGCCCCCCTGGGCCATCTTGGGAGCCTCCTGGCCTGCCTCGGGGGCATCTGGGGCTGTCTTGGGGCTACCAAGGGCGCTCTGAGGCCGTCTTGGCGCCGCCGCATCGCCGATGCATCGGCGATGCGGCGCGATCTTCCGACCCCATCCAACCCGACCCCACCCAGCAGGCCTAGCAAGGGCTCCTAAGTTCGCGCTTCGCGCTGCGCGAAGCGCGAATAACTTCGCGCTCTCGCGCCGCCCCCCAAGGGGGAGAAGAGGAGGACGAGGAGGAGAAGGAGAAGGAACGAGGACCGCGAAGCGCGAATAACTTCGCGCCCTCGAGGGAGCCCTTGCCTAGGCACGCGCACAGCCGAGCGGGGCCAGCCCCTGCCAGAGGCCTCCAGGAGAGCGGCGGGGAGAGTGGTCATTAGCGAGACCTGCCATCGCTCGGACGTCCGGTCCCCGTGCAATGTTCGGTTTCGTGCGTGTCGAGACTCTTCGATCGTCCTCGTCGAGACTAAAGGCACGCATCCGAGCGATGCCGAGTCTTAGGGAGATAGCAGGGCGACCTTACGCGGTGGCTTACGCGCGCCGCCAGCGTGGAGCGCTACATTGGAGAAGAGAGTGTTTGCGTGCGACCTCACGCGGCAAACTTTGCGCACGAAGGTCGGCGTAATCGACCCCGTCGCTCAAGTTTGGCCGGTGGGGAGGAGGGCGGAGGAGGGCCTCCTCCTCCTCCTCCTCCTCCTCCTCCTCCTCCTCCTTCTCCTCCCCCTCCTCCTCCTCCTCCTCCTCCTCCTCCTCCTCCTCCTCCTACTATGGATCCCCCTACCCCTCCTCCTCCTCCTCCTCCTCCTCCTCCTCCTCCTCCTAGGATGCCCAAGTGGGAGCGGCTGAAGGCTGCCGAGCGCAATGACGAAGGCATTGAGCCGGAAGCCAGCGCTGGTGCTGAGCTTGAGGAGTCACATCCTACTGTTCCTGGCCTGTGGTGTGCCTCAGGACGTCCGGGGAGGCCCACATGGCAGCCAAACCAACGCTCGCGCGGTTCAGAGCGGCCCTGGGGGCTCCAGAACGCAGCAAAACGCCAGGGACGCCCTGGGCCGGGACAAGCTTGGCAACAACCTGTGGGTGGGGTCGGAGGATCGCCCCGCATCGCCGGGCATCGCCGACATCAGGACGAAGGACCCTGCGATCCGACGTCTCGAAAAGATCGAGACGTCGTGGAAGTCAAGACTGGAGCCCTGGACCCAATCTTTCCGCACCATCCTTCGAACCGGCTCCATCTGTGAGGGCCCCGGAGCCCGAAACCGGGCGAAAACGCCTGGCTCGAAAACATCGAGCCGCGAGGAGTTCAGTGGAGGGCGAGGAAGCACTCGGATGCTTTGAGCACGGAGCGACCGTCCAGGCATTCCTACAGGCCTACCACGACATTTTCTGAGAACCCAACAATGCTCGAACAGCAAAATCAACTTTCTCAAAACATCGACCCGACGTGTTAAAGCAGAACAGCCTCGGCCAGAAATGTCCTGAGAACACCTCGCGCAGACTGAAGCGGCCCAAGGGCACACATATAAACACACACACACAAATAACAGGATTCCCCATACTTTCTTACACTGTCTGGGTATGTTGTCTCCGCCCCCACTTCCCATATTTTCCCACATCTTCCTGGGGGTCGACGATTCATTGAGTCTGTGTGTGTTTTCCCCTCCTGCCAGACCACAAAAAGGCTCTCAGAACCTCCTCTGGTGGGCCTGCAGGCAGGCCGGGACGCCTCGCCACCGCTCGAGTGGTAACAGGCCGGGCAACTCCGGGAACCGGCGGGTCTGGAGGATGCACCCGGCCCAGGCTGAGGTCGGGCACGGGGCTGAATCTAAACGGTGTTGTCTCGTTTTCGTTTTGTTGTCGTTTTCCCGCGCTTTTTTGTCTCGACTCCGCCCTTACCGCAGAACGAGATGGAAACGAAAGCGGCCCGTGAAATCACCAAAAGCACCGTTGAGGTCCAGCCCTGGTCGGGCATGCCCCCCTGCAGGCGGATGTTGGACGAAACAAATTAAAACAATGTCAACAATATGCAACAGAAAGATGCAGAAAGACTCCCAACATCGTCCCCAGACTATTTTTACTATTTTTGAATAGACTTGACACTGGGCGCCACGGATCGATCGCTCCCGAGCAGAGCGCTGACAAACGCTCTGGAGCGATCGATCCTCATCCGATCGGTGGCCCGAAGACGGGGTCCTGCGGGATGGGGTCCTAACTGCAGGAAGGCGAGCGGTGTTTTATTCGGCGTTTCGACATTGGGCGGAATTCGGGGGGGAGGGGGGAACTCTGGCTCCAGACCTCTGCTTAGTGCGACTGTTTGCAAGAGTGCTGCCTCTGGGGGAGACTACTCCACCTGCCCGAAAAAGGCGCCAAAAACAGCCAAGATCTGCTGCATGGGGGGGGGGGGGGGGGGGGGGCGAGGCCCACGCCGATTGGCAGAAGAAGCAATACAACAAAAACGCTCACAGGGGACCCAGTGGTGGATCTACTCTGCTTGAGGCACCTCGTCCCTTTGGGACCCCCTCCCTCAGGACCTCATACATCTGAATCACCGGTCCCACACGCCTGCTCGAAGTGGATGTTTGCTCTGTTTGAGGCACCTCGCCCCTAAGGAACCCGATGGTGGACTTACTCTGTTGGAGGCACCTCGTCCCTTTGGGACCCCCTCCCTCAGGACCTCACACATCCGAATCACCGGTCCCACACGCCTGCTCGAAGTGGATGTTTGCTCTCTTTGAGGCACCTCGCCCTTAAGGTACTCCAGATTTCGTAATAAAGGGAGGGGGGTCTCATTTCGGGGGGGGTCTTTTCCAAGCTATCTTGGAGGGCCTGGGGGGGTCTGGGGACGATGTTTTGGAGGGTTCTCCCACGGGGGGGGGGTCTGAAATGGCTTGTCTTGGAGGGTCCAGATCCCCTCCCTTTTATTACGAAATCTGGAGGACCCCCTCCCTCAGGACCTCACTTGTTTGACTCACCCGCCCCACAGGCCTGCTCAAAGCCTGCTACCGGCGACACCCCGATGGAGAACCTCGGGCCCCCGATCGCGCCGCACCGCCGACGCACCGGCGAGGCGGGGCGCCATCCTCCGACGCCGTCCGGTCCGGCCCCAGTGGGCACATGCCTCTCCCGAGGCCGATCCCCGAGAGGACCTGCAAGAGCCTCCAAGGGGGGGGGGCAAGAGTGCAGCCCCCCCCCCCCCACACACACACACACAAATAAATACACACACACACATCCCAGGACTCCCCGTATTTTCACATACTTCGTGGGTTTCTGCCTTCCCCCCACTCCCCATATTTTCGCATATTTTCCTGGGAGTCGACGATTACTTGTGTGTTTCTTCCCTCCTGAAAGAGGCTGGAGGGTGCACAGAAACCCAAGGCGTTGTGACACGGGCGCGCAAAAGCCGAGGAAGGCGCCGAGGCGCCGGAACGATGGCCCAGGAAAGCCACGGGAGGAAGCCAGGATGGCCCCAGGCAGGCCTCAGAGGCAACGGAGACAGGCCTCAAGCCCCCCAGATGCACGCAAGAGGCGCCAGGAGTGGCCCCCCAAGGGCATTAGAGCCCAACATCGAACCGAAACGTCGGACCAGCGACTCCTCCTCCTCCTCCTCCTCCTCCTCCTCCTCCTCCTCCTCCTCCTCCTCCTCCTTCCCCTCCTCCCCCTCCTCCTCCTCCTCCTCCTCCTCCTCCTCCGCCGCCGCCTCCTCCTCCTCCTCCTCCTCCTCCTCCGGCGAAAATCGGCAGGCTGGTAGGCCTCCACTGGGAGATCCGTCGACCCTGTCGGCGTGTGGAATATGCTATTTTGATTGACTCGTCGTCGTCGTTGTCGTCGTCGTCGTCGTCGTCGGCGTCGTCGCCGTCGTCGGCGTCGTCGCCGTCGTCGGCGTCGGCCTCGGCGTCGGCGTCGGCGTCGGCGTCGGCGTAGGCGGCGTCGGCGTAGGCGGCGTCGGCGTCGGCGGCAGCGGCAGCGGCGTAGGCGTAGGCGTCGTCGTCGTCGTCGTCGTCGTCGTCGTCGTCGTCGTCGTCTCCGTCGCGTTTGACCCCCGTTGCCGCCCCCCCCTTTCACTGGGCCCCTCTCCTCAAACGAGCCAGCAAAAGCGAAACCAAAGTGAAATTGAGCAACGTCGCAGTTGAGTCTGAGGGAAGCCCCTTCCGCTTGATCCCCTTCCCTGGGGGGGTGGGGACGTTGGGGGGGGGGTCCGGGGGGGAGGGGTCCCAGGGGTGGTCCTGTGGGGAGTCCCTGCGGGGGGGGGTCATGGGAGGGGTCCGGGGGGGAGGCCCCTCGCACTACAGCTCACCCCACGGATCATCGGAGCAGAAGGGTCGGCAAGGGTAGCGTAAGCCTGTTGAGTATGATCTACAATACAAGCCTGTTGGAATTAGATGCCTTCTATGCGCCGCCTGCTAGAGGCTTATAGTCCTTCTTAAAGTATTCAAACTCGCCCGCTTCATCCAGTTTCCAACGATCCGCCAGGAAGCCGTCGATCATAAGCTGCGAGAAATGGGACATGATGCAAGGCACGATCATGGTGCCAGTGCTGTATTGAAGCTCTCTGGGCAACGCAGCCATGACAGACACACAGACAGGCAATGACTTCTGGCTGCACATTAATACAATCGCTACCCACTCCTTGTTGGGGAAATGGAATGCAGTTGCCACGAGGTATGCCGACACACGATAAATAATGTGCACTGTGATTGCCAGCAGTGCAACCACTCCCAGATCAAGCAATGGGAAATGCACGATCTTGTCTTGAGACGCAGAGGTGTTCAGCCAGACCACAAAGAAAATACAACAGTTGGAGCATCGACCAAGGATTTTCTTTTTGTCTTTTGCAAACTTTTCGACGGGCTGAAGGGCCCGCAAACCGAGCCCAAACACGAGCGGCACAAGAGTTTGGATGACAAGACTCGTTAGCATTTTGAACCCATCGATCTCCACATCGGCACCACTGAAGATCACGGACATTGACCATGGCATGGTGAAGACTCCGAGGAGGTTCGTAACAGTTGTGAGGATCAAAGCAAGGGCCACATTCCCGTTAGCCGAGCCCACCATGGCAACGCCCGAGGATAATGTAGTGGGCACTGCGCAGAAAAGCGCCATCCCTTGCAAAAGAACCCGGTTGACTGGAGTCACTTGGCCGAGGGAAAGGATTGGCACGCCCACCAATGGCGACAGGAAAAGCACAAAAATCCGCCTGCCGTTCCCTGCCGGAGGCGCGGCGGCGCGCGTCAGAATGCTTGCCGGCTGTCCGATAGAGCTTCCGCACCCCTGCTCCTCCTCCTCCTCCTCCTCCTCCTCCTCCTCCTCCTCCTCGTCCTCCTCTTCCTCCTCCTCGCCGCGACGGGCCGCCGAAGATCGCTCCCTGAGCTTCTGGCCCCCGGCGCTCAACCTCGGCCTCCCCGAGAACCTACGGCGGGCTCGTGCGGTGACGACCCCGGCGCTGGCTTCTGACAGCGCGGGGATGGCTCAACCTTGGACGGTCGGCGGCTCTTCAATCACCACGTCGTTGAAGATCGTGCGATCCTGTCTGAATCGGGAGATCAAATCGAATCGGAGCGTGGGTCGGACCGGGCTGCATCGGCACGGAGTCGACCTCGAAGCGCATCGGCTCCGCCAGGATGAACATCGACGCGACGCCAGCATCGGGCCGCAGCGGATCCCCCGAACATCGGAATCGAAACGGATCGTGCCGGACGAGTAGAACCATAAACTTTTGGCGCTACGAATTTCTTGGATCTGCGCTGGATCCCCCTCCCTGGCGCGCGGAGCGCGCCACGGGCGGCGCCAGAGGCGCCGCTGGGGGGGGTGTCCAGCGCAGATCCGAGAAATCCGCGCGGAAGGCCAAAAACATATGTCTATAGCGTTGTTTCTTTTCCAGAAACATCGGAATCGAACTGGATCGTGCCGGACGCAACCGATATCGAATCGTAGCGCTCGAGTCGAGATGAGCCGCGGCCGTCGGCGTTCCAGGCGCCCGCGCATGGGGTCGCAGTGGGCCCGCCACGACACTGACCGGCCAGAGGCCCCTCCCGAAGAGCGGCCGCAGGACGATCCCCACAGAGCGCCCGGGGACGGCCCAGGCGAGCCCCTCCCATCGGGCCCAAGGCCTTCCCGCCTATCGTTGTGGTGGATGCCATGACAATGGACACCCTAACAATCCTATCTTCGAGCGAAAAAATGTGATTGAGATGTAGGAAGAATGTTCTACAAATGTTCCAAACCTGTGCTTACATGTTTCAGACGTGTGAGCCATGTTTTAGACATCTGAGAATTGATTGGCAACACGCTTCCTCTCCATTGATTGATCGTCGTCCACAGGCCTCTCGAGATTCCAGGAGGCGCCCAAGGAGTCCTCCCAGCGGGGCCCTGATAGGAGAGAAAAAAAAAGAAAACACCTGGGCGGGAGCAACAAAAACGCATGCTGCCGATGCTTTCTCGGATTCGGAACGCCTCGATCAAGCGACACAGAGCCCCGAGCAGCCCACGAGACGGCCAAAGACGGCATCAAGAGCGTCCCGAGACAGCCCCATGACTACCTCCGAACCCCCGAAGACGGCCCAAGAGGGCTCCAAGACGGCCCCAATGCCCGCTCAGACCTCTCACTTCCTGAGCCTTTCCGAGAGAGCTCCACGGAACCGTCGCGCCGATGAGCCCTAGGACCCCTGACATGCAGGCCTACTAAGAGGCCGCCAAGAAAGCCCAGCGAGGCCCCCGAAACATCCCAAAACGGTCTCCGAGAAGACTCTAAGATGCCTTCAGGAGGGAGGAGGGGGGACGAGGAGGAAAGAAACAGAACGAGGCTGCGGACAGGGACACGACACTCAAGATCCGCGCTAGCGCAAACAGGGCAGATCGAACAGAGCACTGAACTAGAGCGGGTCTTAAAGTCAACCTCCTTCCAACGGTGGCGGGATTTGCCACAGGCACCTGAATACTGCCGATAATCAAAGCTTTCAGTACCTCTTTCCATTTTGTGATCTTCGAGAGCGTCACCCCGCTGATCATGAAAATGAGGATGACGGCGACTTGTGATAGTGAGAACCCGCCCAATGAGATGTTCTGATCCTTCAGGCTTCGGCCCGGCTCTGGGAGAATCAGGCCGATGGTGAGCGCAGTGACGAGCCCCACCATCAGGAAGTTCTTGTCGATCCACGCCCAGAGGCCCGCCATCGAGCACAGAGCAAGGGGGAGGAAGGCTCCCGGAGTGCTCGTCGACCAACAGTAGGAAGGCACCAACTATACACCAACACCGATCCTGGCCAGGATCACCCTGGGCCCAGGATCGGTGTATACGCCCTCCTGCCTTGCGCAAGAAGGCATATACACCGATCCTGGGCCCAGGGTGATCCTGGGCCAGGATCGGTGTTGGTGTATAGTTGATGCCCTCCGAAACAGACCGAAGCACGGTGTGTGAAGTTACGCTCCAGCTCAAGCCAATCCTTGAGCCAAAGCGGATTGCGGACACCGCTGGCCCAGCCCCTTTGGGACAGCCAGACCGCGAAGTGCCGGCTGGACGGATGTCCTGCGGGGGCACTTGACAAGACCAGAGACGAACAGAGCGAGCCGGATCCACGCGAGCGACGAAAAGAGAAGGAGAGGGCTGCAGAAAAGAGCCCGTAGGGCCCCCGAAAGGGGCCCTCCTCTAGGGCCCAGAAGGGGGCCCTGGAGGGTCCGAAAAGGGCACCGTCCTCCCCCCCCCGCCCGTTTATCGCCCCCCACTTGCCACCGCTCGGACGCCCATTCCGCGTGCGTTCTTCGATTTTGCGCGTGCGTGTTTCGCAAGATGACCCAAGATGCTGCTCGATGGCCCCTGCCCAAAGAACGTGCACACGTCCGAACGATGCCGGTCCCAACAACTTCGCGCCCAAGCGCCGCGCTTCTCAGCGGTCGCCGGGGGGCAGCGCGGCCCCCGCCGACAGCTCCGCACCGGCCCCCGGGCACTGGGCAAGCGCCGCGCGCGCCGAAGGCGCCGCGCCCCCTGGCGCGGCGCGGCGCCTTCGGCGCGGCGAGATTGACCCCCGTTGGGGGGCGACCCCCCCGACACGAATATCGGACAATCCAGGGCATGTGTAAACATGTGGCGACGGGGGAGGGGGACAGTGAGAAGAAGAAGACGAAGAAGAAACATAACAAGAACAAGAAGAAAGCCTTCTCAGAAAGGGGCCGGGGCTTCTCAGAAGGCCTCTGGCCTTCTCAGAAATTGTCTGTGTCTTTTGTGTCTTCTCGGAAGTTCTCGGAAGGCCGGGGGACCTCCGCGCCTTCTGAGCAGGCCCGTCCCTTTTCACTTCCCCCCAAGCTCGCCGGCGAAGCATGCATGTGTATGAAAGTGTGTACAAATGTACACGCACGTAGCACCACGCAGTTCCAGATACGAATGAGGGGGCGGCGGGGACGTCGGCAGCCTGCGAGGCTCGAAAGAAACCCGCCGCAGGCACCTAAATCCTTACAATTTCTACGACGAACTCGCCGCGGGCGCCGACTTTTCGTCAAAACAAATGCGAATGGGTCGCAGGGTGGGTCGCGGGCAGAGACGCGGGTTGGTCGCGGGTGGGTCGCGGGCGGTCGTGGGGTGGGTCGCGAGTGGATGGCGGGCCCGACGACAACACAAAACAAACAACAAGAAACAACAAACAACAAACAACGCAAAACAAATAACGAACAACAGCAACGACAAACACCACACAACAGCAGCACCAACGAAAACACCACCAACCCCACCAATAACACCACAGCAGCAACACAACAGCAACGAAGCAACAGCAGCAACAACAACAACACCAACACCAACACCGACACCAACACCAACAACAACACCACCACCAACAACAACAGCAGCAACAACATCAACAACAATATCAACAACAACAGCAACAACAACAATCATGTTTAAACTTTTCGCCCTTTATCTGCTCGAGTGTTCAATAACGCGTCTTTCCAAACCTTCGATACCCCTCCTGTTCGTTTTCGATCGAACCTTTTTTGGGGGGATATACTATTCTTCCCTGCAGGCCGGGCCCCGGCAAGCGGCGGGGCGGCCGCGGACCGTCGGCCTGGCCAGCGGCAGCGCTGTTCGGCGTGGCGGCCGCGGACCGTCGACCTGACCCCAAAAGAGGGACGGACAGGGGACCGACCACGACGACGACGACGACGTCGACGACGACGGCGACGACGACGACGGCGAGCGAAAGCGAGAGAGAACGACAGCAGGGCCACAAGGACACGAAGTAGGCCACGAAGGGCGACAGCGGGGACACCAAGGGAATGCGTACGGGGCCACGAATAGCGCGAACGAGCGGGAGCCACGACGGGCAGATAATGCGGGGCCACAAAAGGCAACGATGGGGCCACTGAGGGTAGCAACTTGGCCACGTAGGACAGTGAGAGGGGCCACAAACGGCGACAGCGGGGCCACGAAGGGCACGCACATGGGGCCACAACGGGCGCGAACGAGCAGGGGCCACGAAGGGCATACGTATACTGGGCCGCGGAGGGCAAGGACGGGGCCACTGAGGGCAGCAACGGAGCCACGAAGGGCAGCGACGGGGGCACGAAGGGCGACACCCAGGGCGCGAATGGCATGCACATGGGGCCACCACGGGCGCGAACGAACGGGGGCCACGAAGGACATACATATATGGGGCCACGAAGGGCAGCGAGGGGGCCACGAAGGGATGCAATGGGGCCACGAAGGGCAGCGAGGGGGCCACGAAGGGCTGCAACGCGGCCGTGAAGGGCTGCGACGGGGCCACGAAGGGCAGCGAGGGGGCCACGAAGGGCTGCAACGGGGCCACGGAACAAAACGAGGGGGCCACGAAGGGCTGCAACGGGGCCGCGAAGGGCAGCGAGGAAGCCGCGAAGGGCTGCGACGGGGCCACGAAGGGCAGCGAGGGGGCCACGAATGGCTGCAACGGGGCCACGAAACAAAACGAGGGGGCCACGAAGGGCTGCAACGGGGCCACGAAGGGCAGCGAGATCCCGATTCCTAGGTAGTCTGTAAAGGGAATCCTTAGCGTGAGCGCGACTCCTGGGTGCCTGGGTGTCGGGAGCGCGGCGCTTGAATAAATATGATGAAATTCCAACGCGAGGGCGCGATCCTTCAGTAAATTGCAAGCAAGTCTCTAACGAGAGCGCGACTCCAGAGCGCCGGGAGAGCGATCCCTGCATAAGTTGTCAAGGAGTCCCCAACAAAAACACGATTCCGGAATAAAATGCAAGGAGGTCTCGGGCGGGGGCGGAGGTCCTGGCTAAATTCTGAGGACGTTTCAGGCGGGAACCGTTGTTTTTGTAATTCGGGGGCCAGGGGCCCAGTTTGAGCTTCAAGACTTGTCCTGTCCAAAAAACAACAAACAGGGTGCGAGCGCGGAGGGGCACACTTTGATGGAGAAAAAATGATATGCACTGGCGGGGGGAACAACAATACTTACTCTTCAGATGTGAGAGTTCAACAACAACAACAACAACAACAACCATTTTAAGACTGTTCGCTCTTACTTGCCCGTGTGTCAGTCAAAACGAGTTCCCCACACCCTCGATACCAGCCCTTTTTGTTTTCGATATTGCCCCCTTGGGGGGGATTATTTCTCTTTGCGGGGGGCGGCGGGCTTAGACAGGCGGGCAAATTTGAACGGGCGGACAATCCTTCGTGGGAGTACAAGTGCCCGCCATTGGAATTGGTGTGGGCCCTGTAAAAAGAGGAGGGGAAGAACGAGGGAGACTGGAAGGGAGGGGGAGGGACGAAGGAAGAGGGAAAACGCCAGGAGAGAATGATCGAACAAGGGGACGGTTGATTAGAGGCAGAGAGGGAGAGAGAGAGAGAGAAAGAGAGAGAGAGAACAAAAAAAACGAGGGAGGTAGAGAAAGAGAGAGAGAGAGGGGAGAGAGAGAGAGAGGGAGAGAGAGAGAGAGAGAGAGAGAGAGAAAAAAAAAAAGAAACAGGGAGGGAGGAGGCAGGAGAAGGGAGGGAGAAGGGAGGAGGGAGAGGAGGGAAAGGGGATAGGGCAGAGAGGCATAAGAATGAGGCAAGAGAGGAGGGAGAGAGAAGGGAGGAGAGGAGGGAGGAGGGAGAGGGAGGAGGAGGAGCAGGAAGGCAAGAGCGTGAACGTTCGAGAAGTCCTACAACCCGCTGGATTTTAAAGGGGAGACCGTGGGGATCGAGGAAGGCACGGCTGGCCTCCCGTTAGGCCACGGGGCCCGGGGACAATGTTGGACCCGGGGCCGAGTCGGGAATTTCAGATGCATCTCTCACCCCTTTTTAATATTAAAACGGCCAAATGGGGTCAGCGTGTGAAAATGTGATTCCGCTCGAGACTTCCGCCAAAAAGCAAATCAGATCGCCTTCAAGGGCGATCTGAAAATTTGCCGCGGCATCTGAAAGTGGCGATATTGCGTGGGACTTCCGCAGAAGAAAAATCATATCCATCTTCACACCGCTTGAGAGCGAGGATATCGCTTGAGAATTCCTCGCAGGGTATGTTCCGACCGTTTTTCACACCGCCAAAGAGTGGCGATTTCGTCTGGGCTGTCCTAACAACCGCGCGTCTCGGCCACCCCTGCGTCACAGTTCCTCAGGTTCGGGTCACGACTCTGCCTGGGAGTTACTTGGGATCGATCGAAGGTCGCAGCTGGAGTTTTTTTTTTTCCATTGGCGAAGACCCACGGGCCGTTCCCTGCCATAGTGCCAATCACCACTTTTGAATCCAGGTGGTGGTAGGCGAAAACGCCGCTTCAGGAAGTCTCGGGCGGGAGCCCACGACGGGCAGGCGATCCCCTGACGGGCGGGCTGGGCCAGTGGGACATTCAAGCGGGATGCCTGAGTATGGCGAGAGCGCGATTCCTAATTGTGACGGCGTCCTTGGCGCAGCGTGTTTCCTGAGTGTCGAAAGCGCGATTCTTGAATACATTGCATGGCAGTCACAAGCGAGAGCGCAATTCCTGAATAGCATGTGAGGGGTTCTCTGGCGGGAGCGGGGG